ATTATTTTTTTAATTTAATTTACGTTTAATAATGAAATAATTTATTTTTGGTTTAATAATATAATATTTTATAAAAATGATAATTAAGTATTCTGTTAGAACTTAATGATTATCTTAATTATATTTTAAATTTTTTATATTTAAAATAAGATGTTTATTTTGTATTTGATTATGTTTATCTGCAATTTGTTACACGAATTCAGATATGGAGCTTTAATAAGTTGTACTTACGCACAATATACTTGTAATCTTGAGTTTTAAGTAATATGCATTAATAAACGATACCTTACGCATAAAAAGTAGTTTTTAAGAGTTTTTGTCAAATGCTTTATAATATAGTATATATTAATTTTTTTTATAATTTAATTGAAGTTTAATAATGAAATAATTTATTTTTGGTTTAATAATATAACATTTTATAAGATAATAATTAAGTATTCTGTTAGAACTCAATGATTATTCTAATTATATTTTAGATTTTTTATATTTAAAATAAAATGTTTATCATGTATTTGATTGTGTTTATCTACAGTTAGTTATACGAATTCAGATATGGGATGAACGAGTTTAAGAGTTTTTAAGAATTTTAAGAGTTTTTAAAAGTTTTAACCAAATGTTTTATAAAATAGTATAGATATAGATATATTATATATTACAATCAGCACCTAAAATTCCATCTGAATAAAACAAAATCAATCCAAAAGCAAACTAAAGCTAACACTAAAACTCAACTTAACAACCGTCCGTCAACATCTCGCCGTCGGTACCTAATCTCACGAAACATTCCCGTTTCGTACCATCGCCGTTCGCTGCATCTCCGGCGACTGCTCCGGTACGCTCCATACTTTCACCGATTTGTCCAAACTGCCACTATAAACCACCCATTTCCCATCACCGCCCTTCTCCACCGTCAGACACTTCACTGGCCCTGTGTGCCCCCTTAGAACCGACATGCATGTGTGATTCGACCCCTCCCTCAGCCACACGCATATCGTTTTATCAGCTGATCCGCTGAACACCAAATTTCCGGCGGCCGCAAGACACAGCACCGCCAGTTTATGCCCCTTGAGGACTCCGCCGTGTGAAAGCTGCTTTTTCAGCTCCCAAAAGTTCACAAACCCGTCCGACGACCCGCAGTACACCACCGATCCCGATTTCGACACCGCCAACGCCGTCACCGCGCATTCTTGGTCCAGCAGCGTCTGCACATACTTATGCTTCATGTTCTTCCCCCACCCTTCTCGTCTCCACACCTTCACCGACCCCTCCGCCGATCCCGTGAACACCAGGCCGTCGCCGGTGGAGACGATGGAGTTCACGGCGTCGTCGTGGGCCTTCACTGATTCTAGACATTTTGAATTCGACGTTTTCCATACTTTAAACGTTCGGTCCCATGAAGCCGAATAAAGCAAACCATCTTCTTCGTTCATGCTGAGGCTGGAAATGGCGTCGCAATGCCTGATCCAAAGCGTCGTACAGTTTCGTTTCACCTCAACGTAATTCTTCGACTTCATGGAAGTTTTCAAGATGTCGAAAAACGTGGGGAATGTTCCAATGCGTTTATGAATTCTTGGGTCTTTCGTGTTCGATTTCCAAACACGAATCTTCCCGTCTTGATGGCCGGTCAAAATCTTGTTGCCGGAAATTATAATCGCCTTCACAAGACCACTGTTGGACTTGAATGTGGTAAACATGTTCATGTTTTTCCAGACATGGATGTTCTTGCTGTCCGATCCGGTGTAGAGGAGGCCACCGGCGGCAGCCAGGGAATAAATGTTGCCTTCCTCCCGAACCAGGGAACCGACGAGGCCATTATCAGGACTAGCAGTGGACGATGGTTGGAAAGAAGATGTCTGGTTCCATGGTGACATCATCAATGGAGAACCCTCACCGCTGGTACGATTGGAATCGTAACCGTTGTCATCGCCGTTGATGTAGTCGTCGTCGGCCGGTGGAGAGTTTGTTTGACGAGGATGCATGGTATGATTATTGTCTCCAAATTGGGTTAATAATTTCTTAGAATTCTGTTTCTTGTTTATTTTCAAATTCGATATTCATACAAAAATGAATGAAAAAGCCGATGATCTTGGGATTGGAGTGATACCGATTAATCGGAATTTATGATTGGAAAACGATGAAGGAGATAATGGGGGGTAGAAAGTGAGAGATTGATGGGAGGAGGGTATAAATAGTGGAGTGGGATAAGGAAATGATGACACGTGTAAGAGAAATATATAAGAGGAAAAACGTAATTGCTGCGTTAAGAATCATTTTCCATGCTTTCGGGGTCCGAAACTTCCGTCGTCTTCCTTTTGTTGCATCAAAATTATTCCCATTAAAAATAAAATAAAAACATGTGAACTATCCTCCTTGTATCATCTACTTTAACGATGTAAATATGGTCCTTTACATTAAAATCAGGTATCTATACTATATTATAAAGTATTTGACAAAAACT